CCTCATCGAAATCAACCAAGCGAAACACAACAGCACCGCCACCTTAATCCAAACGTATCTCGACTCCCTCCAGGACAAGCTAGAGCTACCTCGAATCCAATACACCAACCTAGAAGAAACCGGAGGAGTCTCCTCGAATGAAAATGAGGACGTAACACGATGGTGGTTTGCGTTCTGGGACGGCCAACCCGCCTTCTGGTTTAGCCTCAAGAAAACCACAGGAGAAGACTACGCACTGGGAACTTTGGAAAGATACATGCCGGCGATCAAGAACCAGCTGATGAAAAAACTCATCCTATCCCGATTCAATAAAGTCATCGAAACCACCTACGCCTCAGCATTAAAAAAGATGAAGACAATGATCACCAACCGCAAGAAGATGTCACCCCTTCCCCCGAAGAAGAAAGTCTACACTGCTTCAGACATCGCATTCATCCTCCAACGATGCCTCTGGTTCAACATGAAATCCTACATTGACTTCTACCTCTTCCAGACAGCCCTACTCAGACTTTGCAGCAGAGGAGCTGAGACATCAAGAATCGACGTACGAAGCCTATCCGTGAGAGAACTCCGTGAAGGATCCGTGAACCACGTCCTACAATGCTTCTTAGTTCGTGACAAACTAGGTGTTGACGATCACGACCCGTTGATTCCGAACAAACACGAAGTCTTCGGAGACCCCGTTGTCGCGATAGGCCTCTCCCTATTCCTCCAAGGCGCTGACAGCACCCTCATGCCTTCCATCTCCGCCAAAGGACCAGCCGTCTCCAGTTTCTATACAGGGATGTTAGAATCCATCTGGAAGAGATACCCTCCCATGGACAAGAATTCCGTCAGAAAAGGCACATCACATTTCGGGAAGCACACGGCCCAACACCTACTCGACGGTCTCAAACTCCATGAAGCAGCCCAACTATTCGGTGGTTGGAAAGTCCTAGGCAAAGGAACGGCACGGGCGAGCTATTTTTCGAATCCGTTCCCTTACCTCTTGGATGGAGCAAAGGCACTTGCAGGATGGTCAAAGATCGGTCATGGCGACTATCAACCCGTCATCATCCCATGGATCCCAACAGACATTGGCGACAAGATCTGTTCAGTGTTCTTCGGACATATCCCAGGAAGAAATGCTCTCAACCCAAGCAAAACGGATGATACTAGTATGCGTGCTATCCAAATGGGACCAACTGCTGGATCAAATTCGTGCAGAACCTAATGGATTATTCGAAGATCCAGGTAACCACATCATCGTATCCACCTTGTTGAACGTCTCTCTAAAGAAGGCATCGAACTTTCACAATTTGATGATTTTAAATCGGAATGTCACAAGCTATTCGATAAAGCCAACGACATCACAACAGCTGTACCACAACCCTCAACTCCCGCGATCACTTTGACTCCCACGGTGGAAACCCCAACTCCCGCGAAGCCACTCCCGGAATACTCCCAATCCCTATTCGAATCCCAGTTGAAAATTCACCCGCTACCAGCACTTCTCGATCAAGTCGGAAGGACCAACCCAGCTGCCACCTTCATCAATTTTTTTGCGTTGAACTTCATGGAATCGAAGAGAAATTTCTTTGAGAAACACTCCGGTGATAAACGACTCCTTGAGAAATACCGTTGCAGGTACAACAAAATCAAGTTCGCTGTCAGGGTGATGGTCCGTTCTCTGATAGATACCCAGGGACGAAAACCCCAACATTGCAAGAAGCTGAAGCAGTATTGCAACGAATCAAGACCGTGCTGTTGTTGGGGAAAGTGAAGACAAGGCACAAGACCTTTAACGCCGCGACACCACTCAGTTTCACAATGATCCGAGACCATGAGAAATTTTTGACGGATAAGACAAAGCCCTGGTACCGCCCGCTTCCACCCGACACACCATTCACCTTCATTTCGGAAGTATACAAATCGGGTAATTTAATCATCTAACTTCATCCTAAGCCCACAAAGGATGCGACCCAGTCACAAACCGGCAGAGCTGAAGAGATAGTATCCACAACACGGATGTAATATAATAGGGGGCCGAGGTGGGAAAATCCATTATTACCCCACCTCGGACCCATGGCCCACCTACTCTTTTACTGTACGAAACAGCTGATGGGCCAAACCTTAATTGAAGATTCCCCCTACGTCATCTCAGGGAAGCTTTTATTTAAGGGTTGTGCCCCTCTTTAAGTCTTTTATTATCCCTCTAAGTCTTTAGTTTCCCCTCAACAACCTAAGCCCACTACGGCACTTGAGTAGCACCAACCTAGCAAATAGCTCCCCCTTCGAGCCCTGTGGCGATTGAACATTACAACCTAGTAGGGACATGGGCGATTCCAAACTCAGCCACGCGGCGATTGAGCGTCCCTGTCTCTCTCCCCCCCCTTATACAGGTAAGTATAACTATACCCCTTGTACCCTTGTAGCCTTAGCCATTGTACAAGCCCTGTAGCCTTAGCCATAGCCATTGTAGCCTTAGCCATAGCCATTGTAGCTTGTAGCCTTAGCCATTGTAGCTTGTAGCCCCAGCCATTGTAGCGTAGCCTTGTAACCCTAGCCATTGTAGCTTGTAACCCTAGCCATTGTAGCTTGTAGCCCCAGCCATTGTAGCGTAGCCTTGTAACCCTAGCCATTATAGCGTAGCCTTAGCCCTTGTAGCCATCTTCAGCATGTTAACCTCAGAATAATAGCCCAGCCCTGTAGCGTAATGCAACCCTAGCCTTGTAGCGTAGCCTTAGCCCTTGTAGCGTAGCCCCTAGCTTTGCAGCCATTGCAGCCTCCTCCCTCGGAATTTCCAAACCTAGAGACCGCCAAAGGGCCATAAATTAATCCCAACCTAGAAAAAAAACCCTCTCGAAATATTAAACCGACAACCCGACCATGGCCAACACCCCCTTCGACCTCATCAACACGACCGGTGAAGTATGCATCATTTGCGCAACAAAGTTCCGCAATGGCGACAAGGTCGTCCTCTTTGACTGTGGCCACTTCATGTGCAACGATTGCCATGAAAACCTCATTGCTGTACGCGCTACCTACGAAGACGACTACCTAGGAGAAGAAGACGACGATGGCCGTATCGGAAACGGGTGCCCCGTCTGTCGCTCGGATGATGAAGTAGCTCAGGTCTATCAAGCCGTGGTGTACCACCGTGGAACCCAGGACGACCCCGTGGTCATCGACGAGGACTAAGGTAACCCTAAACCTATAGATCAACGCATACCCCCTTACCAGTATGAAACGTTAGTCTCGGTTTGCGTGCAGTGCACGCGTCAACCCGTTCCAGCCCGCGCCGAGACCGTGCTCCGATTTCTTGCAGACGCGTTAATCGAATGCCAAACACCAAAGCTCTGAGCATAAAAAAGTCAACTCCAAGTCACCCCTCCAACCAGACGGTGAAGAACCCACCATGGGGAAATCAAGACAGAAAGTAAGACACTGGTCCTTTACCATCCCATCCCCCACACTGGCAACAATGGAAAAGCTTTCAAACCCCCCACCGGGTAAAATACTTTACATCGCCTTCACGGTTTTGCAGGACTCCTCCCTCTTGGGATATCTCAACACAACCCGATGTTATGCTTCAGGGATAGAACGCCTCGTAGGCCCCACCGCATCACCTGCAATCTCTCCGAAATCCACCTTAATGACAATCCTAAGGAATGACAACTATCAGCATTTCGGCAATCCTATGGCACCAGATATAAGTTCGCTGATCCTAAAACACGCAACCCCCCCTCAGGAGATCAAGATAAAGAACGATAAAGACCTCCTTTCATTGGCGCTCACACGCACCAAAACCCTCCCAATTTGCCGCCATTGCCGCCACCACCTCGAAGCACTAATCGATTAGTCGCAAACCCCAATTTAATTCTTTTAATTTTTTCTTTAATTTTTTATACCGAATAAAAAACTTAAACTAGGCATCAGCATCATCGGTCTCGGTATCATCAGCATCATCGGTATCAGCATCATCCAAATCGATCGTTCCTTCGGCGTCAGAAGGGAAATCGATCGCATCATCGATCGTATCATCATCAGTACCATCGACACCAGCACCGGCGTCATCGGCAACATCATCCATGTCGTGGTTAATAACCTTGAAAGGAAGCCCAGACAAAGCCGTCAAAGCCGTCATGAATTGCCCGCGTAGCAAGTGGTTGTCAAATTCGTTGACGTACTCTGCACAGACCTCATCATCTCCTGCAAACCACACCACAAACAAATTCTCATCGTCGGTGAGATGGAACTCAATCTTCACCGCGGTGCTAAGATCCTTAGACATCACAGCGTTCAAAGGACGCTCAATGTCTTCATGAATGCAGATTCCGCGGTAGTCAATATTAGCCATGGTTGATATTGAAATCTCTGTTTGCTGTTTGTTCGAGTTGTGGCTCTGTTGTAGAGTCGGTTCCATCAGTTTCGTACGACCTCAACGTGGTTCGGTTCCGGTCCACGGTAACCACTCCGTAACCACTCCACTCCACGGTGGTTTCTCAGTCCACCCATCGTTTGATCGACTCCCATCGTGGATTCTCACCGTGGTGTTTTCACGGTGACTTCCGCAAGTGCACAAAAAAATCGTCGACAACCAACTTGGAGACCACAATCCGACAACAACAAACCAACCTTCAACAGTTTCCCTCCCCTTGTTCCTTTGCCTTTGCAATGTTTACCCTACTACATTTCTTCATGCTCATGCAGATGGTAGTCACCGTCGATGCTGCTTTAGAAATCACCTACACCAGTGGAGAGTACATCCATCACTACGTTTTCGCTACTATTGCGTTGTATTGTCTTTGGGATCAAGGTGTCGCGACTATCAAGGATGTGATCGCGGGGATCAATGAAGATGGGAATACCGGTGTTGCAAGAGTCACCGAGTACCGTCTTTGGTTGGCCCTTGTGCGCGACTTCGGTGTTCGCTGGGGTAGTGGAATGATTCCTGGTGATATCAAGGCGGCTGTTAACAACGTTGAATCTGGCATTGGAGTCCACGTTACCGATTGGGATCATGAACTTCCTGCCCCCTACGAAGGAGATACGGATGATGACAGCGAAGAAGAGGAGTAGGACTGAGTCAGACGGAGGCCTTGAGTGCCCTTGTGCGTCCCTATATCTTGGAGCCAACAACAAAACAGAGGATACAATAATCTATTAAAAAATAAAACAAATCTTATGCAACACACCACCCGTCTCTTCCACGGTAACCACTCCACCCACGTGGTGTAAATCCTAAAAAATACGGTAACCACCACCACCCCAACCTTTTACATTCCACTACTGTGTTGTCCTTGATATTGAACCACTCATGCCAAAGGCGATGATGTTTGAAACAAAGCCAATCGACATCAAGCGGTTTCGAGTAGTCAGAATGATGACCATGAACATTGATAGTCGTACCACATACAATGCACGGCTGCCTCTTCAAAACACCTTTTCGAATGGCTGTTGTTACAGCTCCATGAGCCCGTGCCCTCATCATTTGCACCTCAGTCCGACATTCCAATCTGAATTCACGTTCCTCTTGTTTAAGCCAGAAAGCCTTTGAATGTGCAAGCTGAAGAGCCTCCGTTTTTTTGCGCCGTTCCTCGTCAATCAATTTCTCCTCAAGAATCTTCTCCTTTCGCTCCTCCTTCTCGAGAAGCTCAGCCTCTTGTCGTCGCTTCTTTTCAAGAGTTGCATTATACCGTTCATTTTCAGCCTTTTCCAACAACCTCTTCCTATCACCACCTGTCCAATCACCCACTGATTCCTTCACCCGCTCTTCCAAGTCACTCAAATCAACACTCGCTGTCCAATCACCCACTGATTTCTTCACCCGCTCTTCCAAGTCACTCAAATCAACACTCGCCATTGTAAAAAAAAATGCAGCATGATTGGATCGCCTCGAATCTCTTGCCTCACTCGCGCACCACTGCATTCAAACTTCGCGCTCAAATTCCATGTGCTATTGCTGAATTTAGCCTTGAGTGCCCTTGTGCGTCTAAAACCCATTTTTTCATAAATTTTCTTATATTTTCTCATTTTAAAAAACTAAAACATGAAATACGAAGACGCCCATGCGTTTCACCTGTACTGCCAAACAGGTAAACACCCGTCTCTTCCTCCTACCCTTCCCCACGCGATAAGAATTTCCGAGAATCAACAGAAACCATTAACTAACGCTGTATCCCCCGTCCAAGACAACATTAACTCCGTCCCGTTCCATGTATTCAATGACAGTATACCTATAATTAGGGTTGAAAGACCGACCTCTGATAATAAGTCCCATGTTTGACCGTATACGCTCATCGCACTCAGCAACGTGATGACCAGGATCAACATGTTTATGCGCCTCATTGCAGTAAGGACAAATCACTGTATTAGAACCCTTAAGTCTTAAAGCAACAGGAGTCCCATAGTAGTTCTGCATATACGTCTCCATCTCCCCTACATCCATAGGAACGCTAGCAGTACTAAGACTTGGTGCATCCTCAACCACCGAAGGAGTAGGAGTAGATGGAAGTTTACTTGCCTCCGCAGCAGGAGTAGGAGCAGATGGAAGTTTACTCACCTCCGCCGCATTGCCATCGTCCTTTCCCTCAATTTCAGAAGCAAAATCTTCAATCTTCATAACACCATCCATCGTTAAAAAAAATGTGGATAGTCACTTCCAACATCATCAGCCTACCAGATTACATCACTATGATCGAGTTCATGAAACGGAAGTTTGTAACTGAAGGGTTTATCAGTTACAACCATGCACATGGTTCCCTAATCCTTTGTTGCCTGATCCATGAAGATGAAGAAGTCAACGTGCCCAATTGGTTCCCAATGTACACCGTACAACACCAAGATGATAACAACATGGATCTAGACCAACCCCCATCCATCCAGGGCAGCATGCTAATAGCCATGACAAACTGCGATTTACTCCACACCAAGAACCTAAAGAACACAAGATACAGACTAGCTGACCGCCTTGGGGTAACCCTATCCCCGTCATCAGTAACTGTAGAGTAACCCCAACGATAAACTAAAATCCCTAACCATAAGCGTGTATATCCACAAACATCACGCTTTCATGATCAAACACGATTCACTCTAAGTCTCCGGTACCCCGCGTAAGCATGATCTCGGTCTGACGAACCAGGACCCTGACACCTGAAGTTGAATCCGAATCCAAACCCACCAATCAGAACCCCCATCGGTAAGCACCCAATGAGAACCGGTTGAAGTAACCAACCAATCAAAATGAAGTTTGCTGGAGATAGTACCGACCCACCAAACAGTCTACAACCCAAGCTATTTTATTCAATGAAAGTTCCACCGCCTCTCGACCGGTTAAATAACCCGACCACTGTGGACTAGACTCGTGACTCGTCCCGTGACAGACTCCCCGTGGTCCCAAATTCTCTTCTAATTGAGGAAAAACATCATTTGAGAGTAGGAAAACTGAGTTTTGGAGGCAGTAGCAGAAGCAAGGGGTTGTAAGAGAATTTTGGTACTAGTACTGTTGACGCCGAAGCAGGAGCATTCAATCAAGGCGTACCGAGGTAGATACATACCAGAACCCAATTAACTGATCAGTACGGTACATGTAGCACTACTAAAGAATGAGATTGTTCATTGTCTTACTGTCGTTGCTCGCCCCCCGTGGCGGCCATGGCTTGTCCAGCAATGGTTTGAAGACCTTCAAGTCGAGCGTTTCCAGACTTCAGAAGCAAATCACAAAAAAGCCAAAAGCTCCAGAGCCCCCTCTGCTCGAGCGCATCGGTCTGGAAAGCAACACAGAACCCAAAACCTTCCAATTCCTATTCCAGCAAATCCCAGATCTTCTCACGGCATCCTTTCCGGTAAGCCAATTTTAAAATAATGAACGGAACATGATCCCTTGTATACCACCCATCGTTGTCAACCTAAATAACCTAATGGCACCATTTTTCTTTTTTCTTTCTCAATGTTTCTCTTTTTCTAAAGCTTTTGTTTCGGCTGGGGACGGGCATGTTCTCGGATGGCTATTCCATTTCCTTGGGACCTCGAGATGACAAGCGGTATACTGTCTTGGCATTGGGCAATTCGCAGATTCGGGAAATCTCCACCACTATCAAATATTCCAAACAGAATTTACCAATCATGCTATACGAATTTGAAGGTTGTCCCTTTTGTCGCAAAGTGCGAGAAGCCGTGTCCATGTTATCGTTGGAAGTCACATTTTTGCCCTGCCCCAATGGAGAAACCAACTTTCGACAAAACTTGACCACCACGACGCCCTTTCTCGTTGATCCCAATACCGGCGTCCAAATGGCCGAGTCGGATGATATTATCAATTATCTCTATCGAGTCTACGGCAGTACCAAATCCAAAATTCCCAAAACATTGAACCCCGACAATCCACTCGTACCACTGTCTGCCGCGTTGGGGTTGTTGCCACGCATTGCCCGTGGGACTACCTACCGGGCATCGAATGTCCCAGAAACGCCCCTCGTTGTCTGGCTCTACGAAGGATCGCCCTTTTGTAAAATTGTCCGTGAACGACTCGTGGAATTGGGATTGCCACATACCCAGATCTCGTGTCCGCGGGGGAGTTACAATCGAGATCGATTGTTTGATCAGACAGGAGGCAAGTTTCAAGTCCCTTACCTGGAAGATCCCAATACGGACGTGAAACTCTTTGAATCAGCTGCCATTATCGAGTATTTGGAAAAAGTATATGGACTTCCAGAACCCAATGTCAAGTATTTGTAAAAAACAAACAAACTGCAGCACCAGCAGCAGCAGTTAGTTAGTATGCAGACATGTGAGTGATCTCTGAGAGCAGTGCAACTATCTGACATGGAAACGGTACGGTATAGATGATACCGATTGGCTGCTCAGACGAAGTTGAACGGACCATTCATCGTCTGAGACATTTGCAGCAAACTTAGCAGCGATCTAGAAGATTCTGGACAACAAAAGCCAACAGCACAGGTTCTAATTGTAGTCTAGTGCAAAATAGCCGGATAGTCTCATCCATGTGTCTGCCTCATCGATTGCACCATCATTAATTAATTATCCCCTTGACTGCCTGTGTCGAATCAATCTACCGTAGCTAGTGCACCGGTGCCAACAAACTGTTTTGTTGGACACTGCCCAGCGACCAAATCGTCCGTCCCAGCCGACGATCTGTTCACAATTGGCTACATCATACGGCTGTACCAGGTACCCACAACTTGGCGGATCATCTACATTCCAAAGCTTGCATCATGCACAGTCAAAAGCTCCAGCCAAGCCTTTCGATTGTAACCCCTACCGTAACGCTACTAGTAGCTAGTCTAGTAGAGGTCGTGTTGACTTTCTAGAAATTCGGCTTTTTTTCAGCGTTCGTCTCCTGTTTCCTCAGTTTGCTCGCTATTTGGATCGAATACATGCACAACCGAATATTGTCAATCCAGCCATTGTAGCCAGTTACCGTAGAGTTACATCGATCCGTGACAGTACCGAACACACACTCAGGTTCCGCTTTACTGGCTACACTCCGTTACCGGTACCTGCTTTGGATCCTTATGACATACATGCAAACCGAACATTTTCAATCCGCCATCGTAGCCAGCTACGTAGAGTTCATCGATCAGTGACAGTGGCAACAGTACCAAACACACTCAGGTTCGACTCTTGCTCGCTGCAGTTGTTACCTCGCATTGGATCTTTTGACGAATACATGCACAAAAACAGAATATTGTTAATCCGCCATTGTAGCGGCTACGAACAGTTACATCGGCGACAGTGTCAACAGTACCGAACACACCAGGTTTCCGCTTTGCTGGCTACACTCCGTTGCGTTACCTTTCATTGGATCCTTTTGACGAATACATGCACAAAAACGACTATTGTAATACAGCCATTGTAGCCGGCTACGTATAGTTCATCGATTGACAGTGGCAACAGTACCGAAGTTCGGCCTGCTCTCAGTTCCGTACACCGGTACAATCCGTTCCTCGCATTGGATCCTATGACGAATACATGCACAACCGAATATTCTCATTCCAGCCATTGTAGCCAGTTACCGTAGAGTACATCGATCGTGATTGGAACAGTACCGAACACACTCAGGTTCCACTTTACTGCTACACTCCGTTACCGGTACCTTCATTGGATCCTATGACGAATACATGCACAACCGAATATTTTCTAATCCAGCCATGTACCAGCTACCGTAGAGTTCATCGATCAGTGACAGTGGCAACAGTACGAACACACTCAGGTTCACTTTGCTCGCTACACTCTTCCGGTACCTTGCATTGGATCCTTATGACGAATACATGCACAAAACCGAATATTGATCTCAAGCCATTGTAGCAGCTGCCAGTAGTAGATTGGCAACAAGTACTGTTTGGCAATAACAGGAAATGTCAGACACACGAAGAATCACCCCAAACAGTAGAAATAACAAGAAGGGATGACCGGAAGGAGGATCCACTCTCTTGGTTGTTGTCGAGTAGCTAGCCATTGCTCCTGTTCCCTTTCAAGAGTCAACGACTCAGATGATCTATTATCTTACGAAAGAAGCAATCGTTGCCCGAGGACTTGTGCATACAGAAAAATGGGGCCAGGAATACAACTACCAAGGAATGCACCACCAAACCACAAAGAAAGTGAGACACTGGAGGGATAATCCAGTAAGGATCACACTCTCCTCTGTCTTTTGTGCGTTGTCGTGTATCGCTGCCTCCTCTGGTTGACTGTCGCCTATTCAATGTACTCGACACGACTGTCGTTCAGCTGTGGTAGGGCTGGAGTTAAGCAGTTCCTCCATACCATCCCGTAGCGCGTAGCCTCTTCTCCTTGTTATACGGATCGATCAAGTCGTTCGTTTGGGGGAACCCCGCGGGGATACCCAATGGGGTTATTTCCCGGCGTCTGGCAGTGCAGCAGAGAAAACAACCATAATAGATATGAGTTTTGTATTCTGTTGCTCAACTGCAGACGACAGTGAGACTTACCTTGGTTTTCAAATTGCACCAACTTGGCCGTCATGGCCGAGAACTGACTGCATCCACTGAGTCCATACGGATTCAATAGGATGGCTCGAAATCCGCACCAGAGAAGGAGCTTTGAGTGAGGCTTGAATAATCATATATAGGGTGCGATCGATCGATTCGAATAATTAATTAAAACCAGCTCACCTGTTGATGGCCGAGCTCGGAATTCTCTCCTGTTTACCATAGGAATTGAATGAGGGAGAGAAGTCAGCGCTGTACCTTCAATTAACGCTCTTGATAATAGGCTTACATCATACAGTACCGTACCAGTCGTTCAATCGTTCCAACAACATTCTTGTCGGCCAAGCTTGGATTTCTCTCCTCTTTGCCATAGCAATTCAATGAGGGAGAGAAGTCAGTGCTGCACCTTCAATGATGGACTTGAACGGTACCAGTACGAGCTGCAGGCATTCAGTTTATCCTTAACCTTAGTAACTTCAACGGTTCTTGTATCCACGAATCGATCTAAATCTTTCGCGATACGCATGACCGTTGATTCTGCAACTGAAGTGCGGGTACACTAATTTACACAGTAAACGCGAGCCAATCGATTTCAGAGTGCAACTGAGGGGGTAACCTAAAGGAGCGTCGTCTCACTCAGGAGACGTAATAATAATCACAAGACTCAGTACAGCGTACGTACCAGCTGTGACTGGTTCAGTAAACGTGATATCATTTTTATTTTGACAAATTCACAAGTGTGAAATTAAAGCTTGTTTCAGTGACACAAACGTGAAACTTTCTGCTTTTTGTTTGGATTTTCAGATTCTTGAAACTAGTTTCACACTTGTGTTCCTCCCCCTTTCTTTTCCGGACGGTGCTGGTTGTGGACTGACCTCCGGTACAAGTGCGTTCGCATCAGAATTTTGGATGCCAACAGCTCATCAAGTTTCAAAGTTCCACACCTGCGTTTAGAAGTTTGCAACTTCCCGACCTGATGCTGGTCTTTTCACCACATCTTCCCTATTATTTCTTGAAGGAGCAAGAAACAAAGAGGAAAATAATGGTGCGTGTCTTTCGGTGTTGTTGCTTATGTCAATTGTTGATTGTTATGGGGTTTCCGTCTTGATAGCCTTTTGATTGATTTGATTTGACATGATTGCATTCGCATGGCCCCATGTTAAAACGTTGGGTAAAACCGGTACAGTCGTACCGTACGGTACCACACCCGAGAGGTACCGGTACCGGTCACTACGAGTTGTACCGTACGGTAGCCGTAAGGGGACTTGGGTGACTCGCTCCAGGACCGTCCGACGGTTTTAGCTCAGGTTTTAAAAAAACTTAAAATATCGCAGTGGAAACATTCCCTTAAACATTCCCTTAAAACATTCCCTTAAATCCTCAACATTCCCTTAACATTCCCTTAAATCAACATTCCCTTACCAACATCCCCTTAAGGCTTCGAAACATTCCTCTAAGCCTTCATGTAAACCCCATAGAACATTCCCTTAAAAAAATGAACATTCCCTTAAATAAACATTCCCTTAAAACATTCCCTTAAATCCTCAACATTCCCTTAACATTCCCTTAAAGCTTCAACATTCCCTTAACATTCCCTTAACAAGAACCACGATTTGACCAGTTTTTAAAAATGAGCAAAAACCGTCGGACGGTCCAGAGCATAATGCAAACACATGTACACACACGGACATCGTACATGTACTACAGTGGTATCCTCACACACTGCTGTCCATATCCCGTTCCAACAACATAATACGACTTTTGCTTCAGACTGATACCGAGGAGACCAACACCAACGCGGTCCCAGCTGGGATCGTCTCCAACGATTTGTCCTCATTGCCGCTTCCATCCCAACATCGATGACGGGTTTGGTCAACAGTTTGACCGGACTCATCTTCTTACGACTCTTTATTGGAATTGCCGGATCATCCTTTGTCATGTGCCAATGCTGGTCCACTCGCATGTTCTCCAAGGACATCGTAGGAGTTGCCAATGGACTTGTGGGAGGATGGGGAAATCATCTAAGAAGCGCATTTTTAGGTAGTGCTAGAATCGACATGCGTGCAGGTACCAAACGCCAACCAGCACGATCCCGATCCGTGACGTAATTTCTTCCAAGAATGCGTGCAGTGATTGGAATC